CATATTGGGGAAAGCTTGATAAAATTTTATAGCGAAAGTAAAATTGATCTTAGTTCTTGTAGAGGCTAGTGTTACGATGGCGCACCAAACATGCATTCTGTAAAAAAAAGCTGTTGTCAGCTATATTTTATAAGGATCATCAAAAGAAAGCGCTTGCTGGAGCATGTTGCAGAGATCCGTTGTAAATCAACTGAAAGAAAAAAGATTTTGATAGGGATGTTCAAAACAAGATGGTCAGAAAGAGATGCCGCATATGAACACTTTTATTTAGCAATACCATTTATGGCAGAGGCATTAGAGATTATTTTAGGAATACATTCTAATATAGAACAGTTGAATATAGAGTTTAGTATGGATTGAGACGCACAAGGAAAAAGAGAGGCTAACTCACTCCTTATGCAACCACTAAGTTCAAATTCATAATCGAAAGATTTAAACCATCTACAGAAAAATGTTAAAAAGGAAACTTACGCAATTTACCAACAAGCTACTCGTATAGCAAGTAAATTATTTGTAGAACCAACGATTCCCAGAATCACTATGAGACAGGCCTACAAAAATAACGTACCTGCAGAGAGTCCCTATAAATATTATAAACGGGCCATGATAATACCTTTTATCGACACTATCATTACGAAATCAAAATACGATTCCAAAACACAAAATGCATTGCTTCTAAGGGGTTATGCTTGGTTCCCTCGATAATATGCAGTGAGGAGATAACTACTTTCAAGGAGTTAGTAGAAATGTATAAAAGTGATCTTCCAAACTTAGAAGCAGTAGATCAAGAATTCATGTTTTGTAAAAGAAAATAGTCTGTTATTAAACGTGAAGATAGGCCTAATACTCTAGCTAAAGCCATTAAAATCTGCGATGAAAATCAATATCCTAATCTGTGAACGCAGTGAACGCAGCTTTCCAGCAATGCAAAGATTAAGAACATTGGTATGACTGCAGATAGACTTGGTTCATTAGCCATCATGAATATCCACTACAATGAAATTGTTGATTATAAACAAGTCTCAAAATAATTTTTTACTTTACATCCTAGAAAATTGTATTAAAAAAATTTAGTTTTTGAATAAAAATTTAAACCATTTATCAAAGTATTATTAATCTTTGTATTGATACCCATTTTCTAACAAGGAGCTTGCTTATACTCCTATGCTGTACAAAATTAGAAAAAAAATTCGGAGAACAATAAATTCGTTCATGTAAACATTGTTTACACAAATATAGCTATGTTTCACGAAAATTTCAAGTAAATTTAGTAAGATATTTGTTTGGTGATTTAAAACTGCCTTTTTTTTTCAAAAACGACACCCCCCTTCCTTAAAAATTTCATGGTATGGCTCTGTGTATGTATACTCCACAGGGGGTATCTTCATATTATCACTCTATAAAGCAAAGCACATTGTGCCCATTCCTTAATGCTTTAATTCTATAATTTTTATTTTTAAGGTTATTAATTATTAAATTATTTATTATTAAATTATTTGTTACTTGAATCATTTTATTTTTATTATCTGAGAATGCTGATGTCTTTTCTGGTCCAAATTAGCTAATTCTCACTATTTTAGTAAGATTCTCCAATGGTGCAATGATAATGTGGAAATTGTCCCTAAAAATGCGAATTCTCCCAACCGTCTACAAGAGCGCAATATTAAATATTTTTGGGCAATAGTTAAAGAAATTCTTCTTAAGACAGGTAGCAACAAATTATAAAAATTTCAAAAAGTGGATTAATACAAACAATAAAATGAAAGAAGAAAACATTCATTAGGTAATGGTATCATCCAAATCAAAAATTTTATGACTCACAAAGCAACCTATCAAGCTCCTTATAATTAAGTTGAAACGCTAATTACTGTGCGCGCATTTAAGTTTAAAATAGGTTTTATGGTTATATAGAAATCTTAATTTAAAGTTAATCGGATTTTTCCATGTCCATTAGATATTTAATATTATTTTTTTGTTATTATTTATATATAACTATATTTTTATTTAGATTTATAATACCAGTTTCTATTTTTTTAAGTAATTTCTTGCGAATTTGCGTAAGGTTTCTGAAGTAATTTATTATTTCAACATTTTTTTAGTATGAAGTAAATCATGGCCTTCAAAGATAATATTTTTAAATTTTTTTTTTTTCCTGACAGGTTTGTATTTTTAAATATTTTCTCTTTTTTTGACTATTGGCGACTAGCTAAAATTTTTAAATACTATATATTCTTTTTCGACTAATTGAGGGTATTTGTACTTTTAACTAATATATCTTCTTTTTTTCTCTATTTTCATTATTAAATATTATATCTTCTTTTTTACTATATTTTTTTTGCTAATTTTTAACTTGATTTATTGACCATACTTTACTATTATTTTTATGATCTGTACGGCCTCTATCTTCTTTGAGCCCCTGTCTGTTTATTATTTATATATTTGTAATTATATATTTATTTTTTGTGAAAGGGAATTGTAGTTTATATAAGCAGTAAAACAAAATTAAAAAAAAAACAATATTTCAATGACTTTTTTACAACGAGTTCGATTTTTTTTTAAATAAAAGATTTGATAAGCGTAGAATTGGTGCGTTTACAGTCAACTCTTGATATCTCAAACATCAAGTGGATCGGTAAAAAAGTTCGAGATATCTAAAGTTCGAGATATCATGGAAGAGGTTAAAAATAAACAAAATCACTAGACTTTCACATAAAACAAGTTTATTTTTCTGACAAAAATCATAAACAACAAAAAATACGATTTTTAAAATTTTTGTCATCTGACAAGTTTTACAAATACAAAATTTTGAAAAATCTGTCATCTGACATTGCTTCAAATTATTTATCTTTTCTGTCTTCATTAAATTCTCAATTTTTAGTGCTAGGGGTCGTGTTTGTATTTTGATCATAGCAAAGCATTTTAAAGCGTTTCAAAATCATCTACTAACATCAGATGGGCGTGGCGGGGCTTCAATGTCAATATCTTCGTCAACGCTATTTGTAACTCCATCATCATTGTTTTCAAAACTAGGGCCTAAAATCTGAGCAATAATTTCAGCAATAGTAGCTGATGAACTGTTACTACATTGCAGTTTATACCAATGTAAGATTCTGTTGACAGGTTATATTGGATGGCACTAGAATCTAACTCTCAAAAACAATCAAGTTCTTCTGTTAAAGATTTAAAAGGATGATCATCACCACCTTCAGCAATATGCTTGTTTATTTTGCTGATACCAATTTTTAAAAAGAACTTTTATGATGATAGTCTCTTTTGACATAACCTTTTGAGAAGAAACAAAATCTTTTATTACTTGAAAGATAGAAATCTTTCATTATTTGAAGGATAGCTTTGATACACAAAAGCACAATTTTGTGACAATAGTGAGCTTTAAGACTTCGAGTTGCGTTTTAATCCATGGGCTAAAGGACAAATTTGGTGTTAGGGGTAAAAATATCAGGTTGATGTTGCTTAGCCCTTTAATGTATGGATGGGCAGAACAGTTATCATAAAAAGATGAGTCAAGCTTCTTTATCTATTCTGTAAAAAAGTTCTCCGGTAATCCATCTTTTTAGTTGATTCTTATGTGTGCAAGAAGGTTGTTTTTTTCCCGTTGCACTCTCTGCTGCCATGCCTATTAGTCCGACTTCATTACATGAAGCATATCATTGGTAGCGGAGGCCTACGATTATTTTAAAGATGATGCCGTTTCTAATAAATGGTGCAGAATAATGGAATTTTAATCATTCGTTTGTATACATATAAATTGAACTAGATTTGACAAAATTTAATTAACTTTTTTTTCCAGTTATAAAATCAATAATCAGATACTTTAAAACCCAGCTCTCCTAATGCTTCTGTAAAATGTAATGCCTTTTCTTTCAGGTGCATGATAATCTATACAGAACTGATTGAACTTTGTTTGACAAAAAGGTTCATAGAATAACTTATTATTTCGTAGTGTTAACTTATTTTTTGTTTTTAAGGTAAGAAAATCTTTAAAAATGTGTAATGACGGATTGATTTTAAACTGAATATTAAACATAATATTTTATGTACATTCTCTTCATAAATATTAAATACTTTAATATTTTTAAATAAAAACTTTGTACGCGAAAGACGATTTTCAAAACAAACTAAGCGTATTGCGGTTTTCTGGTGATGATAATAAGTACGCAACTTACCTTTGATTGTACTTCCCCAACCAATATTTGAATAGTTAACATAACCATGTATAAATAAATAATTTTTTGACTTATATAGGACTTCTATATTTTTAGAGACTTTAGTGCAAGTGTAATCAATATGAAGTTTCCATGCAACATTCTCATCAACATGCAACATTCTCATCAACATGCAACATTCTCATCAAGAAAAATCCCAAGTAAACTTCCTTTTTCATTTTCAAATTCGTCAATAAGAATTTTGGCAGGGCTGTTGTTAAAAAACGCTTTTTTGATATAGGTTGAAACAGAATGTATTTTGTTTTCTCAAAGTTTAAGGTCAATTTGTTATTTCAACATAATCACTCTGACCCAGCCGGCACACAACGTTGTACTAACGTTGTATTTATGTTAAAATTGCGTTTTACGTTACTTTACGTTAATTCAATGTTGAGTCAGCGTAATCTTTTTAACGTAATATTCTTACGTTAAGCTAACGTTGACACAACCTTAAAAAACATTAAAGTATTAACCTAACATTCTAACGTTGAGCTAACATACGGACAACGTAAAAAAATAAAGAAATATTAACGTAAGTAGTTCTGCTAACTATAAAAAAATCTGCCGTAGATAATTATTTTTTTTTTTTAAAAGATGGCGTATTTAAAGATAGAAAATAAGTTTAGTTAAAAGATAATTAGCTAAGTTTGAAGGTTTGCATTGACTTTTAAAAGACATTCGTGGAATTTTCAAAAAATATTTGAAAATAAACAGCGCACAATTATTTAAAACTTTGAATTGCTGATAAAAGATTTAATAAATGTTTGATTAAAAAGGTTTATTTTAGGAAAATAAATATATTATTATAATTATTATAGTAATATATTTATTTTATCCTGCTTATTGAATAAATTTTTAACAGTAAGTATTGCATTTCTGAATAAATATTTTATAACAGTGTTTACGTACAGTTCTTTTCAGATTAACCATAAATACCAATCTCGATACCATTTAAATGTGTTCAAGTTTTAATTTTTTGAATTTTGATAACACAAATATGATAATTAATTCTAAGATAATTACACAAAAAATTATTTTCATATTATTATCAGTGGTGGAGTAAAACATTTGTATTTGGTTAATTATTATTGTAATTTTTCTTCTTTTAATCTCATTTTAGGCTTGTGGGTTGTGCAGGGTTGTGCAACTATTTTATATTGCTTTAACAGAACCAAAATTTATAACTAAGTTTATATTTTTTAATATTAATAAGAAGTAATATGTCGAATATTTTACAAACGAATATCAAGTCGGTTAGAACCTAATGCTCATGCAAATAAAGGTGCCATGGCAACCCTTTGAATCTGATAGTTATTCACTCTGAGCAATAAAGTATAATATTTTAAATCAAATTAACTGCGGAAATGAATTTCAATAAACTGGTTGCTTTGCTTATATTTTGACAAACAACGTAAGTATATTATTAATTTGAAACCGAAAAATGTTAATTTTTCAAATGTCTTTACCAAGCATCAGCTATGCATTAAGTGTTTAAAAAAATCAACTTGTAAAGTAAGTAAAATAAAATGTATTTGAAAAATTTCATTCATAGAAAGCATAGAGAGTCTTCAACAAAAACTCAAGTAAAGATCATATTGCAAATATTGAAAAGGGCTCTCCATTGGTAAATAAATGTCAAACAATTTGTATAGAGAATGCAAGCAATTGTTAAGCAGTTCTTTTTATATATTTATAGTATTTACTATACCTGTAATCTTCTTGTATATTCACATTTTTAGTATTAATTTGTATATTTATTTAGTTATGTTTTAGTTAACATAATCTATTTAACTTAATAATTTAATGTTAAACTAATGAACTGAAAAAAAAAATACAATTGACATTGTTTTGCAAACTAAAGTTTAACGTTTACATTTTGTTGTTAAAAACCCTGTTATACCTAATTTTTATTTTCAGGTTTTATTTTAAGCTACTTTTTATTTTAGTCTAAATAACCATAGCTAATAAAGGCCAGCAAATGCTCTTACTGTTTTTCAAAAAATTGTTTTTAGCTTATTTTCTAGCACAATTATGACTATTAATTATTACTATTTAATAAGACTTTTAACTTTAAGATTTTAATTATAATACAAACATTCAACTGTATGATTTTAATTATGACAATTATATACAAACATTCAACTATATGAGATTAATGAGCTAGCAAGTAAAAAAACTTACATACAACAAATGTAGTTTGATGAGAGGATAAGAATATTAACTCTTTAAAGTTTAGGAAATATAAGAATATTACCTTTTCTAAATAAGTTTTATCCTGTTTTTTTATTAATAAAAATTAATTTTTCTTATCATTATTATTTTTCATTGTATTTAATTTTCATTATTGTCTTGTTATTGTTAAAACTACTAAAATTTATGTTTATTTCAGAATAATAGAAATGAATAAACAAGAGAAAAATCAATACTTGAGGGAATGGCGCCAAAGTAATCAAGCCTTAAACAATGTACTTGTAAATGAAGAAATTGACTCACATCACATGTCGACTCTATTAATAATATTAATAGAGTCAAGAGTTGAATTGATTTCAAAAATATTGAAATTAAGAACTATAGTGACTTTTATTTTGTCTCTGATCATAAATATACTTCTGGAACTGAGAGTTCTATTCTAGACTCTGAGGTTCCTGTGTTTGATGATAATGAAGATCTTCATGACGTACTTGTTACATAACGTATGAGTACTTGTTACAGAGATTGCCAAATGGATTTTAAAACACAGAATAACTAGAAATGCAAGTGGCGAGTTGTTAACCATTTACACCAGTATAGTTATAATGTTGATTTACCAAAATGTACAGGAAAATTTTAAATACTCCTAGGAATATTCCAAGCAAGTTAAAATGTGGGGGTAAATATGTTTACCTTGGTATTTCAAATGACAAATCAAGAACTTTAGCAATCAACCAGCATTACAGATTTGAGTCAAATACATTTCTTTAGTTGTCAATGTAGATAGCATTCCCTTGCTATAAATCAAGAATTAACTTAGTGACCTGATAACCATTTACATTCTGTAGAGTTTTTTACAGTCTTGTATTTTTGTTAAACTATTTTGTCTTATATTTGGTTGAGCAATTATTATTTCGTTGCATTGATAGAATAACTGTGAAAAACAACCAAATAAATCTAATCCTGTGTTATTCCAACATGAAATTTTCTCTAAACTTTTATTTATGTTTTAGCTTTGTCACCTCATAAAAGCAGGTGGGAAAATGTTAAAGAAAATACAAAAAATGTTAAGGTCAGGTATGTATTTTTGTTTAACTCTGAATAATCAAACTGTTTAAATTGTGAGTAAATTTTATAGAAAAATCTAGCCCAAGGAAAGTCATTTAGAAAAACAAACAATTTTAATATTATTGTTTGGGGAGAACCTTAACGCTTATTGAATAAGACAAAATCAAATTTACATTTATAGATATCCAAACTCCTGTGGTAAGAAATGTTAAACACAACAATTTAACAGACCAAATCATTATTCCTATCATGGTCTAAATATGATGGGCCAAACATAATATTAGAAATGTTGCATTAATGGGAACTAATAGCACATTTGGAATGGTGGAAACATTTTTTTTGTTTTGGTGCGAGAAGTTAAGTTTAATTTATTTTTGAGCTTTTTTGTAAATTTAACCATTAACTCTCACATAGTGTGAGAGTAAATGGTTAACAAATAATTTTCAATGTATAAATTAAGCAACTTTATCAACTTTTAAAAAGCATTTTACAAAAACTGCCTTATTTATTTAGGTTCTCCCCTATGTCGAAACTTTGAATTTATAAGTTTATAAAAAAATAAAGAACCTTTCCAAATTATACTTTTTGAATTATTACTCCAATGTGTATTTACAATTATTAAGATAAGTTCGCTGGATCACTTAATGTAATATAACAAAGTAGTTATTTTCCATTTATTATTTGTTGTTGCGTTTTTATAGAATTATGAAGCATCATGTTAAGCCCAAGTTCAATATGAAAAGCAAAATTCGTGTGATATAAAGAAGTTATCATTCGAAAATAAAAAGTTGGGTAAAGCAATAATTTTGGTACGTTAATAATAGCTCAATTATTGTTCTATCTATCCTTTCTTCCTTACATATGTTTTTTATTCTGAGATATATATAAGTCTTAAACCTTGAATGTTAGCATTAAAAATCAAACAAATAGTCAATTATAAACAAAATAAATTTTTAACTGTTATCCCGTTTACAATATCCCGTTTTGTATTTTAGAAGTCATCCAGCTAACGCACGAGAGTTCGACGGAAGCAAACAAAAGATCAAATAGGAAGCATTTTAAAGTTCTCTCCATTAAACAATTATTTATTTTTGAGTTTTTTTTGTAAATTTATAATACAAAAGAATATATAATACATCTTTAAAAAAATCTTTTAAAACATTTATTGTATTTTTAGTTTGAATATCCCCAAAACTATTTTTCTAACCCTTTTAAAGGGGTTAAAAACCTTTATATTAACTTTGAATATTGATTGTAATTGTGTTTAACATTTAATGTTAATATATACGGTTATATTCATATAATAAACATGACACGAAGCCGCGTATAAAGGGCTTTGGCTCAGGGTTATATGAATATAACAATAGCTATATTAACATTAAATATTACACAATTACAATCATTATTTTACGTTAAAATAAAACGCCAATGTTTTTCCAACTTGTATTTACATTAGTTTAACGTTAATCTAACTTTAGAATTTTACGTTAATATAACGTTAATATCTAACGTAAATGCAACGTAAAAATTTTACGTTACAAAACCTTTCCATTTTGCCGAATATGCAACGTTATACTAACATAAAATCTAACGTAAATAAAACGTTAACACAACGTTGTGTGCCTGCTGGGGAAGGCCATCGTTAGAGGTAACAAACTGCTTTTTATTTGATAAGTAACTGTTTTTTTTTTGATAAGTAAATTATTTTAGCATATTATTATTGATTCCATAGTATTTGAGCTTTCTAAGCAATATTTTATGGTCAACGGTGTGAAAAGCATTCGAAACATCAATAAAGAAAATCCACTTGCTAACGTACATTGTTTTTTTTTCAAAAAGTTCTGAGATTTCCCTAACAAATTGAATAATTGCGTGCTCAGTTGAAATATTTATTTAAAGCCAAACTGTTTGGTATATAGTATATTATTTTGGTCAAGATATTTATATGTTCTATTGTATACAATTCTTTCTAATAACTTTGAAAAAGTTGAAAGAATCGAAATTTGGCGATAGTTTTTAATGCTTGTTTTATCGTCTTGTTTGTAAATTGGTATAACTTTTGCTAGTTGATCAGATTAGTTTAACTATTTTTTTTTTAATTTTAACGAAATTTTTCAAATCTATGTTTATAATTTTTATACATTATTTGCAGAAGATTTTGTCTTAAAATATTTTATACACAACTTTTGCTTTATTTTGAAGATTTTTTTAAAGCCTTTTATAATCCAAGGACTATTAAAGGTTTTATGACTTTTTATAAGTTTTTCAGTTTGCGTTTAAAGTTCGAGTTTTTCAGTTCAGTTTAAAGTTCGCACCATATACTAAGTAGAATAATTTGAAGAATTTATTATAAATGTTACTTGCATTGTCATTAAAGTTGTACCCCCAATGGAGTAATAATAGTTGATGTTTAAATTCATTAATTTTATTTAACGTCGTAAATACGTTTTTTTAAAGTTTAATTTTGTTTAACTTTATTAAATGATATTGTGTTAAGAGTTAGGAAAATAGGGAAATGGTCCGATATGTCAGCTTTAATGATACCTTTTTGCAAAGAGTTATTAAAGATGTCTGTAGAAAAATATTTAACAATAATGGTGGCAGTTACTTTAGTTGTATGATTGATTAGGGGAATTGCGTCTGCTAAAAAAATTATAAACCAAATATTTTTTTTTTTTTACCAAGGTTGATATTGTGTTTTTTGGGACACTATACTTTTCGGCAACCTCATCCCTTTCTCAAAGTTTTTTAATGCCTTGCATTTTTCTATTATAGATTTGTTTGTAAGTTTTAATTTCGTTTAACGAGCGGCATGTTATTGCGTTTGACAAAGTCAATAAATTAATCCGTTAAAGTAATACTTTTTAGAAATTCGATTCATAAAAAAAAATCAATTTTAAAAATCGAAATTTAAAAAAATTCATGGCAATCTTTTTCAAAAATTAGAATTTTAAAAAATTAAATGTTTTTAAAACATTTCTTAAAAAAATTGTTGAAAAGTTCGAGATAACGAGAGAAAATTACCCCGCAGACCAAAAATATTTTTTTAGGTGTTTATAAATATATTTAATTAGTGGTCGAACAAAGACAAAAAGTGAGGAGGGAGGGGGATTATAGCCCCCAAGCCCCACTTGCCTAATGTCCATGATATATATATATATATATATATATATATATATATATATATATATATATATATATATATATATATATATATATATATATATATTAACATAATTCCTACAATATATATATATATATATATATATATATATATATATATATATATATATATATATATATATATAAATATATATATATATATATATATATATATATATATATATATATATATATATATATATATATATATATATATATATATATATACATATATATACAAAGAGTGTATATACACTCTTTGAATACAATTAGTACCAGTAATTTTTTGTATTAAGTTGCTTCAAGCTGAAGTAGATTTTAAGAAAATAAGAGGTAACTCAAAAACAAAAAATATCTAAAGTTAACTAAAGTTATTATTTGAAAAAAGGTTTGAACATAAATAAACAGCTTTAAAGACGTCATTTTTTGTAGAAATACAGAGAAATGCGTCATTAAAATAAGTAAACGTAAACAAAACTAAAGTTTTTAAGCTAAAAAATTGAGTGTTTTCTTTTTTCTAACTTTAAAACAAAAATATTTTGAACTTAAGTATATATATATACTTAAGTTTCATTATATATGGAAATACAAGGGGAAATGTTTCACTGCACTCGTTTTAAAAATTCATTAATTATAATTCATTCTAGTTTATGTTTCACTATTATGCGTAAAAACAATTAAATTAAAATAAGATCGAATCGGGAAGACTTGAATCTTTCAAATTTTGTGCATTATAGTTTTATGGTACTTACGCTTCAGACGATGATTTTTTTGATAAAAGTTGAATATCGCTGGTGCCTAATATACAGTGGCGTGCAAAAGTTTCCGGGCCAGTGACATTTTTTACTCTAATTTATTTTTAAAAAAGTCCAATGGTTTTTTATTAATTATGTTTGAGAATATATTTATTACTATAATTGTTATACTTACATGTGTAAAAGGTTCCAGCAATTTGTGTTATTAGAAAAATTATTAAACTACACTTCCCCAGTGGACACGGGACCTGAAAAACGTTTTTGAACATTTTGGACATCTTTTAAACGTTCAAAAGATGTCCAAAGCGTTCAAAACACGTTTAAAAAACTTTTTTTTACGTCCAGTTCCTACTGGGTCTATAATATAATTAAATTGTACATTCATTTTAATATTTTGTATTAATAGCCTTTGCAGTGATAATAGCTGCACAGCGATGTGACATTGACTCAATTAAATGATGGGGGAGAGGGGGTCTGCTAATGGCGTATATGAGATGGGGGCAGGTGGTCAATTATAAAAGTAAGGAGACACTAAATTAAAAAAATAACATGAAATTTTGAGTGGGTAGGTTAAAAGCGTAGGTATTTTTAGGGAGGTGGAGGGTACTTAAAAAAACGTAAAGTAAAATGCAGGGAGAGGGTGGGGGGGGAGAGGGTCGAGATGAAAGTGAACGTACTTTATGGACGGCCGCTTATGCGGCCGGAAACTTTTGCACGTGTAAATATAACAATTATAATAATAAATACCTTCAGAATCATAAATAGTATTCTTTTATTGTAATATATAGTTTCCTATAATTCATACTATCGTATATATTCATTTATAATATATACACCCTATAGTGATTTAAAAATATTAGTCATTTAAATATGTTAAATTATTTAAGTACAGGTTTTTATTTTTTTATTTCTTTTTAAGCTTTTCAAAACTAAACTTTTAAAAAGAAATTTATATATAGATATAAACGCAGGGCGCAGAGTTTACGTTCATCGACTGACTTAAATAAGGATAGGTGCAGTAAATTGTTCATCCATCGACTGAGGATTTGTGTTTAGCCTGGCACTCTTTTAATCAAAAAAAAAAAGTTTTTCTAGATTTAAATTATATAAAATTTTAATTTAACCAATAGCTGCGTCCAAAATCAGTTAACCCTTCCCTTACAACAAACCATTTGTTCCACCCCTCACACCTCTCAACCTCGTGCGTGAATTGCGTGACGAAAATCTTGGACATAACTTAATCCATTAAACGATAACAAATCAGAAATTAAATATTTAAAGCGGGTTTTATTTTTATTCCTTACGTAAAAAAACCAGTGCGTAAAAAATTAAATTGAATCTATATAAATTATATTGATAATAGTTTATGTAGAATAAAAATTACAAATTTAAATTATATAATAATATGAATTCAGGGGAACAAAGTGTTCCTACTTCGTCTGTAAATAATCCTCCTGATTCTAAAAGACCAAATACTCTTTTACCACAATCACTTAATGCAGGCAAGATATTATATAGTATAATGATATATTTTACATTTATATATAGTTATGTATATTTTATTTGTTTTTTATTTTTATATATATATTTTTTACACACGCAAACACACACACACACACACACACACACACACACACACACTAGGGCAGCTTGCTCGTTTAATTGTGCAGTTCCAGCTATATATTATAATCTTTTCTAAGTTAAACTTTTTACCTTATTCCGTATTTAAAATTTGTTTTTTAGGTAAAAGAAAGTTAGTTGTAGATGTATCTTTTCATTAAAAAATTGTTATAAATAGTAACAGTAATATTGATTTTGTTATTATTATAAATGAATAGATAATTAAAAAAAAAGGTCTTATTAGTTACAAAGGTTGAACTGGATTTGGAGTTGAGAAAACTTATCAGTTTATTTCAATTTCATTCCATCAGCTTTTTTAAGTTTAAATATACAGTCTTTGATAAAAATTTTACTTTTAATGTTAAATATACGTTTACCTCCTTAAAGCTAAATAGGCTACTATAGCTAAAGTTTGAGTCTACTTTTTTTTTTTCTTCCCTCTCTCAAGCCAATAACCCTAAAGTCGTAAATCTTGACAATTTTTTGAGTGCAATATTATGATTGCAATATGATTTGAGTTGTGTACCTTTGCTTACAAAGCAATTATGACCACTATATCAATACTACATAAATAGTATAAATTTTATACTGCATATTTAAGTCTTTTACTTTAGATCATCTGGTAGGGTTTATTTTTAAAAACGTTTATACAACACAAGTGGCTCCCTACACCTTAATTATCGCAAATGGGTGAAGCAAGTATCTTATTTTTCAAGCCTATTAAAATTTCTGTTTGTTGTAATGAATATTTATGCTAAAATTATGATTAACAAGTTATCAAAACATTTTTCTGAAATGTATTAGTAATTACTCCTTTAAGTATAAAATGAAGATAAAGGTATTAAATTAAAACATAAAATAATTTTAAAGAAGTGCGATTGAAATATAAAAAGTAAATGAATGAGATGAACATATTGTGGTTTTTGATTTAGTATTTCATATACTATTTATGATTTTTCATTTTAAGTTCTTTAAAAAATAAGTTATCATCACTTCCACTTCAAATTTTACTACACTTAAATGTTTACTTTTTTGGCTTTTATTGGATTTGTGAATTGCTTTTGTACATTTATAAAGGTAACTTTACTGAGTTTGTTAATTGATTTTTTATGTTTTTAAAAGTTATTACATTAAATATTTTTGCATGTTTATGAAGTATACTAACTATGTAGGAATAACCTAATTTATAAATATATAGTATCAAAGTATTTTTTAATATAAACTTTAAAGTATTAGATTTTAAATATTGAACTTTAAACTATAAATATAGTTTCTTTAACATACCAAATATATTGGATATCATTTAATAATATAGGGATTATTTTACCATATCCAGACAATGGTGGCACTCTGACTACAGAAATAGTTCTTCTTGCTTTTCTTGGAATCATTGAAACCTTTAGAATTTTTTTTG